TAGTCAATTATATAAGATGGTCTTTCTTCCCATCATTGAAAACCATCCTGGCGATATTTGTCTTGATCAAGACCCAAACCGTCTTCCTGCGAGGGAGGCTCGGAAAGACAAGAGTCACACCAGCTGCACAAAAAATCGGAAGGATGGGAAACCCAAGCAAGTGGGTCTCTGCGGAGACGGATGGCTCAACCCAAAAAACGCGCAGGAGAGATGTTTCTCAACACTACGGGGTGAACCGCCAAAGGACGGGCTTCCCTTTGTGACAAAATAGCAAACTGAAACACATAGAATTCATCAAACAGCCAAAACACCAAGAAGGTTACGCTATTCCACCATATTCCACCAGTCACTTGTTTTGCATATTTATAACATGCATTCACGATCATGCTGGCCAACCTGACTGGACAAATATATAACAGCGCGCAAAAAATCATTGAGGCTCTTACCTCACCGCGATAGCCCTCGTGGCATTTGCACCCATTGGACCTCAGTGACAGGTCTTGCAGCACTCTGGACGATAGAATATTATAGAATACTATCCCAAACATGACCTATGGGACTGCCGAGTGCTTTTTGGCCAGTTTGCTTTTTCAACCAATGGACGCCTCGTTCTTCCAGTCCCGAGTTCTTTTGTATGATGCACTCAGGATTCCAGCCATGTTTTTTTTTGGGGAATGATCAAGAACATTGGGGGGTCCCGTCCCGTCCCGTCTGCCACGAGTGCCACGAGCTTGAAGGGCTCCTGAAGCATGGCCAGGCACCCTTCAGCAACCAGGGAACGCATTTGGAGGAAGCACGTTGTTTTCTCATTCTGACTGAGCTGCTAAGTGGACCATATGTCCACAGTGACAGTCACCAATGATGTAATGGTAGAAATCTTGAGTTATTCAGACCATTCCGGAACATTTCATACATTTCACTGGGCATTACTTTTGGTGTCATCACATCCTTCGAACAAACACAGAACAAAACATGCTACATACTCCCACGATCCAGTCAAGTAGGGCTCATCTCTCTCTACCTCGCCGAGTCTTCCCACCTGGAGCCAAGCAACTCGCAAACACCATGCCCGGAGCACTGGTTTGCACAGCTGCTCGTAGACTGACCCTGAGCAGTTGCTACTTCCGAGCTGTGAAGGAAAGGAGATACGCCAGCATCTCCCACCATGTCAATGTCTCCTGTCTTCTTAATGATTTGAACCGGTTTAGGCGCAACACTTGTAGGAAGTTGCTAGGAACTCGTGGATTCCTTCAATCCCTGTCGTGGATGCAGTTGCATGATACAAACAAATGGGGAACCAGTCATCAACTTGCAAGCCTTGTTTCCCATGTTACAATAAAGGTCCCTTGCTCCATTGAGGGCCACAATGCGTGTTATCTTTAAAATGTCATGCAGAGATGTGTCCATCAGTATAGACGTACCCTTGAAATTTGCTAAGTTGTGTAAGTTGTCTTATACAAGCTGGTTGACAACCACATGTAGGGTTGTGTCCTTCCAAAACCCGGTGGATTGCTTTGATTGCTAGGCCTCGATGACCTCGGATGACATGGTGAGTTTTTTTTTTTTTTTTTTTTTCGCTTCCAACGGCCCTGTTTTCAAGAGACCAGGCCAAAGGACAAGACTTTTTTTTCGGGGGGCTAAACGAAACCTACATATACCTTATGGGTATATCCCATTACCAGTCACAGTGGAATACAGTGGTTCAGTTGGCCGACATCTCTAACATAGTGATGTTCCTCTTTGTCTCAACCGGAAATCAGGTTCATTGGGACACAGATCATATACCTGTCTCATCCTGTTTCAACACATCAAACAAACAACAAAACACTGTTATGCTCGTTTCATGCGCTTCAAAACCGGTGTGATCGGTCGGCGGTGTCCACCCCGTCGAGTCCCAAAAGATCTGACCGCGCCTCGGTGAGGTCGACCAATGCAGGCTGCAAGTAGTCCTGTTGAACGGTCAAGGGACAACACGGTGTCAAGTACGTAGAAGCTCACGGATTTGGAGGGGGAAGGGATGGGAAGGAGGGGTATTGTTCATCTGGAGTCAAACTATATTAAGTTGGTTGAACAAACCTATAAACTGTTTGAGTGCTTCAGCTTCGGTGGAGCTGCTCTGAAGACTATTGACTGCTTGCTGGAGCCTCTCCTGGCAAGATGAGCCAGTCCATCCGTCATGACATTCACAGGTTCCATCACGACAGTCGCCGCGACTGTTGCAGTTCAATGGGCACGCCTGCGACTGTGCGTGGTCTGTGGTCAGTGCGGCCGGTCTCAACGAGGTCTTCAGACTCCTCTAACTTGCAACCAAAACCCACAGGAGCCAATCAAGTTCAGGACCTCCAAGGAGTGGTCAATGGACACCCGACCCCTAAGGGGCTATTCATGGACATCCTTTCCATGGTGCTGGGTATTGTTCAAAAAGCTCGCGTTTGCAGCCCAGTTCGCTGGGAAAACAAACACATAAAATCACAGGAACCGCAACTTCATGCAACTTCATGCAACACCAAATGGACATATGAGTTTCAATCTTTGAACCCACCCTCAATGAACGATGTTGAATGAACTCCCACGAACTCGTATCTTGGCCATCTTTCTCTGGTTGTCTTGGCAGGGGTCCCCGGTTCTCCAGATGACGTATCGGTCTTTGGTCCGCAAGTTCCAGCGACCCACAGGACTTCGCTCGACAAAATGCCTAACTCATCCTATCTCGAAACCCTGGCCGCAGAAACCAAGCTGCACATGTTTCAACCCGCTCTCTCCCTCTCTCTCGCGCGCTAGAAGCATCTTTACCCCAGGAAAGTAGTCTAAAGTTGCCAACCCCTGGGAAAGTATTTTGGAAGACCTTCCTTCAATCATCTTCAATCAAAAAGCACTCATTTCATTTCAGTGTTCCAGCCAGGCTATCCCAACAAATACATAGACGGGTAGATACGGGTAGACAATCCCAAGAAGACAAACAAGACATATAGAAGAAAAGGCAACATTGGAGATGATGCCTACAAAATGAAGGAAACACGGGCAAAGACCTACAGGCATGGGCGAGTGGAATAAATTTGGAACACAGTACATAGAAGGGCCGGGGCCCTAGCCAAAACTGCTGCGTCTGTCCTGGATGTTGTCACGCCTTTTTAGCCAGTGGTTCGCCCAGAAGAAAAGGCAACATTGGAAAGCCCATGGAAACCAGCGAATCAAAGAAGAAAGGACTTCCAAAATAACAGGGGTGGGTCCAGCCACATTCACGTTTCAATTCAGTAAGGGCCAACCTCAAGTCCATTCAAAATGGTGGGAGTCCAACCTCTTGCACACCTCGCCGCCTACCTCATCTGGCCTCAGAAGCTCCAATACTCACAGTGAGGATCAAAAAAGGGATCTCCAGCTCCGACCAGCTCCTACCAGCTCTCCCTTTTCACTCTGACCCCCTTTTTTTAACTGGGCTCTTGGAACCAAACCCGAACCACCCGGACCAAACCCGAACCGAACCGAGCACGAACCCAACGACCCTCCCGCCTTCGTGACGACCTGCGAGACCTTCGCAGACGGGCTCTGCGAGCTCTGCTTGGCCAACTCTGCGCTTTCGGCCGCGAGGCCTGCGAGCGGGGAGGGCAGGTGGGGGCCACGTGCCACGTTCCCAAAACAGCTGGAGAGATGTCCAAATTTGGCTTAATACAACTATTGAATGGTACTGATATTATATGATATGTTACACTTGTACCATTACAACTTGCAACATTCTTGCAACTTATGATGATTATACATCCGCCCCCCCACAGAAAAGTGCATGGTTTTTTGAGCCAGCTTCACCCGTAATTTCTGAAGTTGTCACTCTCACTCACCGTTCACCTCCCAAAAGGATATTTCTGTTTCACCGCCCAACGGGTCATGCCGAAGTCATCTCTGGTCCTCGGTGAGCCGAGAAAATCCGCCTCGTCTCAGGAAGGCCAAAGAACTCTGGGTCTGGATCAGCTGGCTGCAGTCCTTCGTCGCTGAATTCTGCTGGGTGGTCGGACCCCGCAAAGTCCGAGTTAGTTCTTTTTGCTCTTCCCAGAAGAGTACGATGAACAGAAAGTGTCTTCCCAAATTTTGCCAAGCAAACTTGCTGGATCATGTTCTGTTCAGTCATTTTCTATCTTGATGTTCTCGCTATTGAAACATCCTCACTGCCAAGTCACCGGTGAGACCTGCTGGGGCCCAACCCTAGAGAGAGAGGAGACCTGGCAGAGTCGGATGCTGTACTGTGACTGGACGGCGAGTGGATGGCCATTGCTGGGCGACTCATGTGACTGGCAGCCGTTTCTTCACCTGTCACCCTTGACCCGTGGACCTGTGCCTGCAAACGAAAAAGGACTGTCCTCTCCACCATAGTTGGAGGAGCACTTGCATTGACCTGCATGAAAACATCTCTCGAAAGCGTGGCTAAAATGGGGTCGAACATCAAGTCCATGAGGGGCAAACCTGCAACACCTGGCAGCCATACCGCTCTGACTGCATCTGAATTGAACAGAGTTGATTCTGATCAGTGGGAGGCAATGCCAATGATGTCTCTAAACTTTAAACACCGAAGACTGTGGTAGCAAGGACACGTGATTTTGTGATGCTGGCCATGAACATGTGCTCCCCAGCCATCCGACAGTCCACCAAACAGTTTCGATATGATCGACCAAATCATCCCCGAGTATATTATATACTATATAGTCAACATACTAGACGACATACTCTCTCTCCCCCCCCAAAAAAAAATAAAACAAAAGTCATGTCTATCATTTAAGACACTCGTTCATGTCGGATCCTTAAACTCGTTACCCAAGAGTCTCACCGGTCTCTCCATCACTCTCACGTCCGACCCTTATCGGTTTGACTTGCCAGGTCCGGCCGGTGGAGCTGGGCACCCAGGTCATGGGGATGTTGTTTTAAGAATGGATTGAATGTTCAATATCCTATATTGAATCATATATACATTCATTGGGAAGTTGTCATGCACCCTAGAATCCGATATTATCCTATTCAATGCACTTGATGACTACAGGGCGAAGGTCAAACAAGTGCTCAGTCTGAAAGTTGCTGGTGCAAAACAAGCAAGTCGGCCGCCTATTGAAGCCATCATGGTTTATCCAATGAATCTTCCCAAGGTCAAGTCTTCGAGGAGGAATGATTACCCGTTTCTTTCTTGCGTTCTTCCTGTGCATACCGATACCCCAAGCGCAGAAAAGTCTTCCTCGCCGAAATCGCCGCTCAGTCTCGGTCTGGTCCGCCTGTGAGGCATTGCCCGTGCCCACTGCAATCATTGAGGCATCGTGGATGCTCACCTGTGCTCGGCAGTCCGCACGGTCTGCCTGTGTGCCCGCGTTGGCAACGCATGCGGTGGCGATGTTCTGCAGCTGTTGGCTGTGATTCTCCTATGATGCTGTGAAAACCAGATTGACAGAAGACCATTCACGAAATGGACACCATCCCAAATGCACTGCAACTACTTGTTTCTGGTGGCCCACGTTTGATTGATTCGATTTAGGTCAGCTTGCAACTTTGGAGCCTGAACCTAAAAACACCCAAAGCCCAGTCGAGTCGACGCCCATGTGAGTCGACGCCCAGTCGACGCCCAAGTGACAAAGGTCGCCATAGAAGCCGTCACGGCACATGCACTTCCCTGCAAGGCAAAGGCCCTGATTGCTGCAATCCATCTTGCAGGGGTGCATGTCAGCCTGAGCAAGTGGTTGAGAGGTGCTGACTGTAGACTGGAGCAGTGGCCACCCAACATAGGGCTACAGAATTGATGTGAAGCGCAGCTGCACGGCTGCATGGTATTTGGGTCGGCAGGGTTGATCCAACATGCAGAAGGTGAGTGATGCATACACGGTGGATCCATCCTGGAGTTCATGACATGGCAAACATACTTCCATTGCGTAGGATGTGATAGTTGGTGAATGCTTCTTCTCCTTCAATGCGCTTCAATGCTATGAGTGTGACGTGTAAAAGTGAGTAATCAATACCCACAGTACCACAGTTGTAAAAACAACACATAAAAACACACTGCCGCATGCAGTACGGAAAAGGGTCTTCACGCCCAAGGTCCCAACCGAACGCGGCTTAGGGCGGCTTCGTGGGACGATCGGTTCTGCGGCTCAATGCCACCAAATGGCCAACTTCCAGGACTTCCACGCAGTGATTTCGTTGGGCAACTGTCTTCAATGGGAGGTTGAGTAAAACAAGATCACCACGAATTAGTATATAGTAAGATTATAGAGATTATAAGATATTATAAGTATGTAATTCGACACTTCAAGCAAGGAGAGATCGTCTTCTTCCAGGCCCATCCCTCGAAGCACTTCAATCCCACTCGCCGCTCTCAGGCTCCAACGGCAGGAGGAGCCTGAGACTCGGCGAGCCAAACCGGAACCGGCGTTCGTTCTGAAAGCGATCTGAAAGCGTTCGTTCTTTTTCAGTAGACCTACAAAACGGAAGTAATGGAAGCACTAAGATACTTATAAGATTAACTTTTGTCTGGCCCATGAGTCACGGATTGAACTTTGGAGCACCGGCACGATCTTTTGAGAACTCGACAGTTTCGGGCCTCGACCATCACAGTTTGAGTGCTGTCACGAAGCATCTGCTAGTGTGCACATGTTTGCCATCTGGACCCCTGGAGCACGTCCGAATACAACATACTTGACTGTTACTTTCATTTGAGAAAATCACAATGTTATCACCGTCATGATACAAACCACACCAAACCACCAGCTTTCTCTAGCACTTATACTTCATGCTTGCTCTTCTTGTCGGGTCGGGCTGGCGGGTTTCAGGTCTGGGTGGTCTGGGTCAGAGGCAGCAAAGTCTGCCAGAAACGTCGGTGGAAGCGGAGGGATGCTTGATTCCCGATTCGGTACCTGATACAAGTTATAAGTTATCACCGTCATGATACAAACCACACCAAACCACCAGCTTTCTCTAGCACTTATACTTCATGCAAATGTATGCTGATGTTGCTCTTCTTGTCGGGTCGGGCTGGCGCGTTTCAGGTCTGGGTGGTCTGGGTCAGAGGCAGCAAAGTCTGCCAGAAACGTTGGTGGAAGCAGAGGGATGAGCTTGATTCCCGATTCGGTACCTGTTGGACTCGTACTCGTACCATCACATCCCGTAGACTATCTCGCAAATCCATGGTGCCAAGAGTTTCGAGGCCATTTGGCGGATTGGATGGTCTGAGGCGATTGGATGCCACTCAACGTGAAAAGTGTTGGATGAAAAGTACGCCTGCGAAAGATGTGGGGACCATGACGCTATGAACTTCATGATGCAACATCAAATCACTGTCATCCACAAAGGAGCTGAACTTGCTCTTGCTTATCTTGCTTATCACTCCCACAACAGGGACCTTCTCATGCATGCAACAAAAAACAAGCCTGCAACAAACCCTAAACCCTAAACCCACCACCGAAAAACAACCCTGCACCGTCAAAAGACCCAACATAAACCCACCTGGTGCCCCACGTCCCATGTCCACCCTCATCCTCTTCGCTCCATGGCCGAAATCGGGAACCCCTCCCCGCCTGCATCCCTGCGAACTCTGCGCCGGGAATCTCTGCCTGCACGAAACACCGTGGAAGTAGCGCGCTGGAAGAGGAGGGTTGGGCAAGAGTGCAATGGGCATGAACAGGTACAGAACAGCAGTAGGTTGAGTAGTTATTAAAACCAAAGCTCCTGACTTGACTATCAATCAACTTGAATACCCACACCTCATCCCAAACCAACATGACTTGAGTTTGGCCTACAAACCATGCGGCGCCTGACCCGCCACCCGCACCTGGTGCCGCCGAGCCCTGGCCACGGCGTGCTCCACACGCTCCACGGAGTCTCTGGTGTTCTCCAAGCGCGCTGCCGCGAAGAGCCTCGGCCGAGCCACAAGGGTTCCGCGAAGTCGAGAGCGACCGAAGGACCCGGACGTCCGCGATTGGTTCTTCGGGTTCGTTCTGCAAGAGTGAAATGTGAAAGATAGTCCTTTCACCTGGGGCAGTGCTTTGGATTGACGTGAAATAACTATGCGTCTTGTCCTACTCCAGGGTTCGTTCTCCACTGATGCCCTTCTCTGCGGACGGCGTCAATCTCCTTGGCGGTCCGGACTTGTCCGCAGCGGCCCATGCGTCCTCCGCTGCCTTGCGCGATTGTGCGAATGCCAAGGGCGATGTCCGCTGCTGCGTCTGCCGCAAAGGGAGTGGGTCCTCAGTGAAGCTGCATCATGAAAAGTGGGGCTGATGAAAAGCGGATGAAAAAGGAACTGTCACAATATTGGCAAGATTGGAATCTACTTCATTGGCAGTTGCTGAATTGACCTTTGGGAAGCCTGAAAATGGATGAACAGCACTTAACAGTGCATCACGACATGTTCGGGAGCCAAGTGCACTTCTAGACTTCATTGTCAAAAGACGCTGCACCGAAAGACAACCTGGTGAGCTGACATCGTCTTATCCCTGCCTTCAGTGCACGCAAAGCAGGCCACACAAAACGGGTCGATTTGCGAGAAACCCGCCTGCATCCCTGCCAACTCTGTGCGCGGAATCTCCTGCTCTTCACGTTCGAAGAAAACGTCGACACCGTGTGCACGGACAGGTACCCACGCCAGCGTAAGCAGCCGAACCGTTGTGTATTTTTGACTATCGGATGTGACCATGGATACTAGTGTGACTTGAGAGGAGGGAGACACGAAAGGTAGGACAGCGGGAAGAGAAAAGAACGCGAGAGGCAGGAACAAAAATGCAATGTTCGACATGGTGATTTATCCCCTCGGAGGCGACCTTTCGTAAATATATGTTCATTTGCACTCTAAATGTTCAAACATGTGCTCTCGAAATGTTCAAAAAGATTCTTAGGAAAACAAACTTGCCCCATGGCTCAGATCATCGGTGAGCATTGAATCGGAACATCATAGGATTTGAACTATCCTGAAACCATAAGAGGCTCACGAAAACGCTCCCCAGGAGAGAATTGACGTGCTTCACAAAACAAACTCTAGGTATGTATCCCCTCGGGGAACACCTTTCGTGATTAGAATTTCATATTCACTCTTTCTGAATGTTCAAGAGGGTTTCAACTATCCTGAAATCATGAGAGGCTCACGAAGACGTTCTCCAGGAGAGAATTGA